GGTAAATGATGGGAAGGCAGAGCCTTCTACGCACGCAGATCCCTGGCACCATTTGCACATCGTGGAGTTGTAAATTTTGCAAATAGAGTTGAACTTGCTCTTTCAGCTTCCTTGAGACCCTCCTTCATTGTCTAACCTCAGTGTTTCTGATAGAGAAACTGTCTCCCATTGCAGAACAGGGAGGGAGCAGCTTTTGTATCCCCCCGCGGCTAAGATACTGCTGATCCATTGACTGGGGGTGGCTGGTGAGAGTGTGGCTGCCAAATCCATCATTGCACATTTGGCTTAAGAATTGAAAAAAAAAGCAGTGGAGCAATAAGCCACTTCTAAAAGTAGTGCACTGCAAGCAGAGGGGTAGAGCTGGGCAGTCCATCTGCTTCCCAGCCTGAACCTTCAGGAAGCCAAAAAAAAAAAAGAAAGAAAAAGGTGAAAAGCAGCAATCGTTGTGCCCACTTCTTCCTCAGGGCCCATGACCTTTGCAAACAAAAAGTCACAGTGACCATTAAGTTAGCAGTTTCAACAGACACTGCTCTGAAAAGGCATGTGGACAGACACACCAGCTGAATTGAGTCTTCTAAATCAGAGCTGAACTATTTTTGCACCACCAGTTCTGTGACTGACGAGTCTCCCAAGCTGCCTGACGCTGTGTTCGTAACACTGGTGTAATTTACAGGTGAGCACTGCACTTAAAACTGCATGAAGGAGATTTTTTTTCCCATCAATTAGATAATCTCAGTGCTAGCTAACGATTGCATTTCAGTTGCACTAAAATAAATTTTTTGACCCTGGAATACTAGGAAATTTGATGTCCTAATAGGAATCTTGTCTAGGTGGCTAGATAGTTATCCCCAGTACATGTGTAAGGGGAGGCATGCCTCTGAGGCTCTGGGAGTTTTTAAAACTAGGAAGCACTATTGCATTTACTTACCTTGGCCTCCAGCTTAACAGGGGTCATTGATTTTTGCCAGTAATTGCTGTAGTAGAGGAAATTATTCTTTCTGCTGTGTATGAGCGTTCCTGACCTCAGTAAATGACCCTTCATACGGCCATGAATTCCCAGGCAAGAAGTGAGTTTTCATTAGGTCCTATAAACCTGGATAGCAAAATATACCTGTAACAAAAAGATGTTGCTTGTGTGATAAATAAAACTTCTGCTTGAACCTGAGACTAAAATAGATAGGTGGCTGGTTTCCATGTAAAGGTCCTAAGTATTGATGAATTTTATCACCTGTCTGGCTATGGAGCCAGCCAGTGCTTTAGCCAGAATGTAG